CGTTCTGCTTGTTGTCCACTGGCAGCAGTTATCACGTCATAAAAAGTAATATAACCTTTAAGTAAGAACACACACTCAGCGCTAACTTTTTTAATAGGCTGCCCAGACAAACTAGAAAGTGAATTAACTTTTATGGGTCTTCAAACGGCCTGGAAAACCAATAGTGGTGTAAGTGACATTTTCGGGAAGTATACATGTAGGTAAAACATTAAAAAACACAGTGTTGAACTGTTGTGCACCTTCAAACAAGGCATAACATGATCAAGAATTATATAATTCAAATGGATATAACAGGGAACATAATATTACTTGCGATCCTCAATTAGGCGCTCAGAAAAGCAGATAAACGCAAGTACCTACTGGCAAATATGTGAAGTAGGCCAACTATTAAACTGCTGTAAGCGGAGCAATCTGGAGTAATCGTGATAATGTGCACCTTCTGTTTGTAAAAAAAATTCAACAGTTAAATTGTGAAGAAAAGTACAGGTTCTGATTTATGGGCTGAGAAAAAATATTTTAGAAATCGAAATAAACAAATCTATTATCCTATTATTCATATGCTTCAGCTTCCTGTTACATGCAACAATTTGAGAACCTTTTCCCACTCAAAAGATTTTTTTTATTGTTAATTTCTATGGGAACAGTCCATCACTCTGAAACCATTGTGAGCTCCATAGCCTTTCTATAAGCGACAGCACACCAACTGGTGATTGCGCAATCTCTTCTGCAAAACAACTCCGACCTGTTGAGTAACTCTTTTGTGGGGAACAATAAAAAATATAGAATTTCATTAAAATGTCACACATAATTTATTTCCTAATAATAATCTCCACAAGCCAATAATTTAACAAAACAAAAAACAGAAGCATTAATCTAACAAAAAATAATAAGAATTAAAAAAATAGAACATGTAATTTCTAGGAATAAGCTCACCACACTAACGACAAAAATTTGAGCTGTGCAAGGAAATGTAGAGCAAACACAAACCGGCCACAAACTGAATGCAGGGTGTGGTGGTGGGGGGGCAAAAAGAGGGAGAGGAGAAGGGCAGTTTGGCTGTTACCACTGAAAAACACACAAGACCAGAAAAGAGGGGAAGACGATTTTATCATTTGCCGGTTCAAACCTCCCGAGAGCCAGTCTAATTAAGAGCCCTATAAATAAGCGGTAGATGACTTTCCTGGAGCGCACTTCTAACACAAGTACACCCTCAGAAGAATTCACAAAGAGAATGAATCAACGTTTGGGCAAACAGACCTCGGCTGCGTCCCAAAGTGATACAAAAAAACAAAACAAAAAAACAACCTTGAGGACATTGGCTTTGTAGGTCACTCTTTAAGTACATAAGCACCTCAATCAGTATCAATAAGTTAAATGGCAAATGCGTAAAGTGCTGGGAAGATTATGCTGCAAATGTGTTTAGTTACGTGAGACTGAATACCTGCATAAAAGGGCCCTTATTACGCTATTTTCTGATCTATGTTATAATGTTGTTTCCTCATCAAAAACTGCAATGTATTCCTTTGATTTTAGAAAAATAACTACACCAGAATACAGTCACTCAACATATAATGAGTATTTTGAATGCATTTTTTGGTAGGCCTATTTAGTAACTTCACCACCCTGAACCCTTAAGTCTAGCCCCACAGGTAGAGAAAGTTATACTTGTTTAGCAGTTCATATTTCAGTGTTGTTACCAATGTTCCTTGACATGTTTAAAAATAGTGTCTATGAGATGAAGAAGAAAATTATGTTAATATGTTCATTTGTACTTTCAAATGTGGTCTAAGGTTTATAAACAGGTTTCTCTTTAGTAAACATCAAAGGTTTGGAAAAACGAAATAAGCTGCTGGGTTGATTACTGGTAAAATAATCTATCACACTATGTTGTCAGAATACTTTGAATGAACACTAAGTTTAGAATGGGTTAACATAAGCTAAACAAGCGATTCTCTTTTTGTGGTTTTTGTGAGGCCTTTTCCATATAATATTTTGATTAAAATTGTTTAATTTCTATGGCAACGGAAGGCCCTTGCTTGAAAGTATCAAGGCATTGGATAAATAAAATGCATTTAACAAATTCTGGTTTCCAATGGAGAGCTTTTTTCAAATGTGAAGATGTCACTGGGAAACTCCAATGATTTTTTCACTCTTTGCCTGTTGATGATGATCTGACTGCTCCTCTCACAAAAGCAAGTTAGGCAATATTTACTATAAGAATAATAACATAATAATATACTCAATATGGCACCAGAAATGTTACATAGCGCACCTCTAATTAAATGCTTTATTTTGTTGTTATATTTAGAGGTGTACTATGTATGTTTTCTGGTGGAGGATAAAATATGCTTGCCTGAAATGTTCCGCAGTATAGAATAAACTTTTTATTACCACAAAAACACTTGGTTTTGGGTGGAATCACCAGATCATCTTCATGGAGACTGAAGTTTTATGCCATTTTGTGGAACATTCCAGGCAAAACATTAACATCTCAATAGAAAAAAGAAGGAAGGACCCAAAGCCTACTTTGCTTAGATATACCATGAAATGCTGTGAAATGAGTTGTACTCTGTTATATGTGCCTCAGCAGGAGAGAGACAGGTTGGAGTCATAAACCACAGGCAGCAGCCTGGAAAAAAGGCAAAAATGTCTCAGAGTGGATATGCTCATAGAAAACAGGTGGCATATACAGGCAAAGAAGGACTGCACTTTATTGAACTGGAGGAAATAAAGGATAGAATGGAATTAAGATCCACTCAGCCAAAGAAAGAGGAACAGGAAAGGTAAGTAATTTTATCATGTTAGGATAAAACACGGGCCATACCCATTCAATAAACTTGGCCCATTTATATAGCAAATATAAAAAACTGAGAATCAAACTACATCAAGCTATTACAAGAAACAGACAGGAGAGGGAGCTCCATGACCAGCTGTTGGAGCAGGAGAAGGAAATTGAAAACATGAGAAAAGAGGAGACAGCTGAGAAAAACACTCTTCTTAATCAGGTTCAAGAGTAAGTCTTTAATTATATAATTATACCACAAAACATAAGTTAAAGGTCGTATATTACACAAAATTGACTCTTGTGAGCTTTAAGCCATGATATGATGCTGTTACCTCCTCAAAACAAATCTGGAGTTGACTTTTGTTTCATACATGTTTGAGTCTGTCTAAATCTCCAAAGCTCAAAATATTCAGTTCTATCTTGTGCTGTCATGTAGTGGTAGTTTTCAAGTTAACATCTCCTTTTACATTTAGCTCAGCAGAGAGTGACAACTCCAGGGCTGAAATTATCCAAATGATTCTAGTGAAGGTGTGTGGAGTTTAAAAACACAGTGGAGCACTTCCTGTATTATCACATGACATCACAAATTGAAACTGAGTGTTTTCAGTTGAGATAAAAACTCTAAATATACAAGGTTTTTGTGTTAAACATGTGTGAATGAAACAAATTCCAGGTATGTTTTTAATGAGGAAACAACATTATATTATAAATCAGAAAATAGTGTAATATAGGCCCTTTATGTCAGTAATAATCTGTTATTTCAAATACATTTTGTATTTTGTTAAGTGTAGCCTTAAACGGGAGGTTGAGATATTAAAAAACAAAAGATTGGTAAAAGAAGAGGAAGACGTTAAGCCTGATGCAGAGTTTAAAAAGTCAGTTATGAGTCAGACACTGTACTTAAAACAATCAGTAAATAACCATTACAATCATCTGCATTATTTTTAAAGTAATAAAAATAGTGTTGTAAAATGATGACATTTGTTAGGTAGAGGAATTCAGTGAACTCCAGAAGCAGGAAAGAAAATTGACGATTCAAGTGAGACCATTTCAACACTTTTTAAATACTTGCAAAATATAAATTAAAGGTATAATTTTTCTCTTTCCCAGCACAACCAACTGATTACTGAGAGGAAGAAAACTCAGGATTCACTGTTTACATATAAAGCCGCTGCGGTTACACTTAAAGTAAAAATACTCATTCTTTTTATTTTGAATGATACAGTAATAAGGCTATATAATGATGGCTCAATTTATTGTTGAAGGCTGAACTGAAAAAAATTAGGCAAGGCATTTGTGTCAAGGATAAGGAAATAAGGTTAGTTATTTTTGTTAGGTCTGTGACTCTAATCAACTGAACTGTGTTTTCTTGTGTTGAAGGGCCCTGTGATCGAGAAAAGTAAAGAAAAGAAAAGTTCAACAACAAGAAGGTATTTTAAACATTTGAAGGTTTAAGATATTTAGGCTCAAGCACAAAACACTTGATAATATGCTACACAAATATATTAATTATGTTTTTTCCCTTTGTATTAATTAACCACATATTTTGTATCACGTAGATACAAAAAAATAATAATAATAATAATAATTTCACTGCCCTATCTACTGGTAATCCATATAGAGCTCCTCAGCCCATGTAGCTTCACCACACTTCAGCTGATCATTTCAACACTCAAGATTCAAATATTGTAATCAGATATAGATTTTTCAGATAAATCAAATCTTTTTCTGTGTTTATTTCTTGTGGTTCACTCACCTTAGAGCTCAGTACATTTGGAAAGTGACCGGAGCTCTGAGACTGTGTGGTCTGGGTGTGCTGCTTGTCATGGCAAATGTGGCTCCTCTCTGCAGCCCCGACTATGACCTCTGGACCATCCTGTTTGAGGCTGTGGAGTCCTACAGCAAGCTTCAACTGGCATTTCCTTCTTTTAATTAACAGTGGGCTGTCGATATAAAAACATAAAATTAACCAAGCAGCATGGCTATGAATTAATGGATTTTTTTTCTGCACTGCAAGAATTAATCAAAAAAATACACAGGTTTATAGGAAGGTTAGGATGACTATCATGAGCATCCAATATTTTTTTTTAAGTTGAAAAATGTCTTACTTTTTATATCGAACGCATACATTTGTTTAATTAAAATTTTGTTAATATTCCAGTTAAATTACACAATGGCACACAAAGGCCTAGGCTTACATAAATGTTTTATGTTTCACATTAATGGAAGTATGTGGTATGGTTTGGTGCAAAACTTCGTCAGTATTTACCTGTTGCTCAGAAGTATGTCAAAGCACCTGAAAGAAATGCAAAGTTGTTTATTTTTTATAAGGCCCGGAAGAGCTCCTTTAACCGTTTCCGGGTCAGATCCAAATCCTGAAGGCACGCTGGCAACACATCGAGGCCACCGGTGGGTAAGAAATACGTTATTAACAGGTACTCTCATAGGGTCTTCATCAATTATTCATCCCTTTACTTATCAATAATGTGATATTTACAGAAAAATATAATCATAACGGCCAAATGTGAGCATTGTATGGGTATGAGAGAGACTGTGACAGGCGGGAAGCTAGCAATTTTAACGTTAGCATTCAAAAACTCTGCTGTAAACTTCTCTTTTCATTGGACGGGAGGCTCAAGACTCGTAGGAAACTGGTGAAACTTGTGCATACTGAAGGCTAATGTATCCTGTTGCTGTGTTGCAGTGTCAGCAAAATGGACTTTGTTTATGGCCCGCTGGGCTTGAGTGTTGTCGCGGGATGTGGGCTCATCCTCGGCTGGTACCTCCGAGGCCGCTTCGCTCCCGCGTCCAAAAGCGTCGCTGCAGCGGCGCTGGGGAACGGCGCCGGGGAGGCCAGTATGATGGGAGAAGGAGGAGAATACAAGATGATTCTGGTAGTGCGAAGTGACCTAAAGATGGGCAAAGGGAAAGTCGCCGCCCAGTGCTCCCACGCGGCCGTGTCTGCGTACAAACAGGTCCAGCGGAGGCACCCGGAGCTGCTGAAGGAGTGGGAGTACTGCGGCCAGCCCAAGGTGGTGGTCAAAGCTCCGGACGAAGAGACTCTCATTGACCTACTGGCACGCGCCAAAGAAATGGGACTTCCTGTTAGTTTGATCCAGGACGCCGGCCGGACACAGATCGCCCCGGGGTCACGCACAGTGCTGGGGATTGGCCCTGGCCCATCTGATTTGGTTGACATGGTCACTGGAGAGCTGAAACTCTATTAAACATCATCTTTGCCATAAGATGTTATGAGACTTTTTACAATATGAGTTGTCATTTTTATAATGCACATTCAGCAGGCCCATGGCTCCTAGCTGTGTACTCAAGTACTACTAGAAATACCATGTATATTGTTGCCCAGCGATGCTTGGGTAAATACTTTTATTAAATGGTTAACTTGATTGATAATAAATTAAGATTTACATAACGTACTGTCACCTATATTCACTATAATCACAGAAACTGTCAAAACAGCCACTTGTTATATGTGTATAATGGGTTAAAAAAAAGCATATTGCAACTGGCTTTAAGATCTGACAAGATCAGGCTTTAGAAGCAAGGCTGGGCCTGGTTAGTATTTGGATGAGAGATTGCTGGGAAAATCTGTTGCGTTTAGGCAAGGCACTTCACCTTCACTGCCTTGTGTGGTGGCTACAACCATCACTTTGTGCAGAGTGAGTGAATAATGCACGGTAAATAGTTTTGGGTATTTTGAATGAAGTTATACAAATCCAATGCATTTTTATAAATGCTGGCTCAGAGGTTCATAGTCATTTCTGAGGCCTGTTTCACTACAAAGTAATTTGAAGAATTATTGTGCTATATTATGTAACCACAAGTGTCAATAGTTAACAGCAAACAAACTGACAAACAAGAAGCCTTTATTTTCAAGTGGAAAACAAAACTGCGGTTTCATTCAATATAATCCTGTTTATGCACAATCACTTCTTATAAGTGCACTGTTTTATTCTAAAGTAATTCAGATAAGAATATAAGTTCAAAGTTAATCAATGAATTTTCTGTATACACACAAGCCATTCTGATAAAAACTTCAAATAACCACATGAGCTGCAGTGACATGATTCTGAAATGAGTGAGTTGGTCAACTGAACACAATAAAAGCAAAAGTTTACAGAAATCTTTCTTGCAACCCAAACAGCAGAAACAAACTGCGGTGAAAGGGGGCTGAGTGTGTCAGTCAGAGCGGTTTGTTGTCCCATTACAAGCAGTATTTCAAAGTACTATCAAATATGAATGCAGATGCTAAGGACATCTTGCACAGGCATTGCTGGAAAATATACTTTCTATTAAAATTGGGCGTCAAATGCCATGAAGCAAGTGATGATAAAACGTAGTGTTTCAGGATTGTGGTACTTGAAGCGGCAGTTTTATATTCAAATACAAATCATCTGAATATACAATAATAAATGAATTTTACAGGTGGACAGAAAAAGCTGCTCACACATCAAGAGGTTCTACATTTCTTCTTACTACAGAGTGCAAATCAGATGCTTCAGAACAGACCTTTTAGACTGAAGAGGACTCGCTCTTCCAAAAGCCCCCCTCCCCAATGTACACAAACCATTTCCATTCAAAAATAACAGAAGAAAAATAATCTAGTCAATATGGAATGTGAAAAATTATTAATCTTTGTGATACAACAGAAAAAAGTCCTTCATAGCAAAAGGGGTAAAGTACAAAATAAAAATGTAGGTGTGATGTTTTGTATCCTGAAAGGCAGAGAGGTCTGGTGAAGGACTGTGGCTGATGGATGGGAGCTTTACATGCCATAACCAAAGCCTGGTTGAGCAGCTGGCTGAGGGTAGCCTGCAGGGGCCTGGTAACCATATGCGTAGGCCTGTTGAGGGGCAACAGGGACACTGGGGCCTGCTGTAAGCATCAGTTGTGGTGTGCCTTCAAAGAAACACAAATAGTTTACTCACATTTATTAGATTTGAGCTCATAAAATTAACTGGTTGGGAAGTTAGACCTACCATAAACAATGGGCTGTGTCTCTGTTGCCTGCTCTTCTTCTTTCCTCAGGGACTCTGAAGTCTCTAGTTTATCTACCTGTAAATGCATAAAAAACATCCAGCATGTTAAAGGTGCATTGTGTAGCTTTTCTGATAGAGGGTCAGTCAAATGCTTTTCTCCATGGAGATGTTATTGGATTGTCTAGAATGTTTCACAGTACGGTCTTAAACCTTTCTATCTTCACAGAGACCAAATGCCTGTTTTTCAAGGTATTTTTGAGCAGTAAAAACACCAGTGATTTCATGAATGTAAGGCAGAGCTGTTTACAGTCTGGAACATTTCAGGCAGAGCAATGAGATATCCATAGACACAAGCAGGTGATTGACCCTGAATCAAAAAGTTACACAGTGCATCTTTAATAATTCCACAAAATCAGTGTGTATATATCGTATGCAGATACACACTAATAAAATCTACTTTTTCTCGGCATGTCTTTTTGGAGCAGCTTAAGGCACCAGTGGCTTTTGTCCAGTAATAAAAAATAATATGTCATAAAGCAAATTTCCATGCCAATATGCACTATGTTTATGCACTTTTATGCCCTTGAGCATCTTTGAAACAGTGAAGAATGTCATGCCAATTATATTACAAATTATACAGCAAACACCAGGCAGACTCCATAGGCTTAACATTTTGTGACATCAACAGTAACTTTATGCAAGTTAAAATCATTTTCATGTGTTTTTTTTTTGTACATGCTTTTACAACCAGTTTGTTCCAACATTGGATTAATACTCAACTAGTTTTCTACTTTTACTACTTGCTATTGATCAAACAAAATTTTCATTATCCCAAAGTTTTAAAATGTTCAATCTTATGCAAAATCGATACTCATGCAAAAACAAGGCAATTTTTGAACTAGATTTTCAGGTTAAACCAAGACTTTCACCTGATTTGTAATTGCATCAACCTGAAATGGAAAAAGATAATGACATTCATATCCAAAACTTTACCATTTAGAGAATCGTATCCTTTTGTTTGTGCTGCTTGAACTTTAGTGACAGACCTTACAGTTGCCTATTTACATTAACATAAATCTGTGCAATGCCCACTCACCTTGCTGAGGTATTCTCTCATGACCTGGATGAAATATGGCATAGAAAAATCCATGATGTTGTGCCTCCATGCAGTCTCTAGCACCACATCTGGCCGTAGGAGGTCATAGCACGTGAAGAGGCAGGCAGCAAAACAGTCGTTCTTATTCTCTTGAAGAAACCAGGCCAGCAGCTCCTCAGCGAGCTCTGTGTCTTTAGATTCAGAGGCATACTGCATGGCATCCTACAAGAAAATACCACGAAACAAGTGTGTCAACAAGGGGTGGGGCAGTAGTATAGCTGCAAGAAACAATTATTTTAGTAATCGATTAATAAGCAATACATTTTATGCATTTACACTGACAGGCATATATGGATTTAAATTGATTTTAGCCTATTCTTTGGTTATATGCACTACTGGTCAAATGTTTTAGAACACCCTAATTTTTCCAGTTATTTATTGCAATTCAAGTCGTGCAAATCCAATGAATATCTTGACATGGTACAAAGGTAAGTATTGAACAACCAGAGGTTATAAAAAACACAATGACCTAAAACACAAGTCCAAGCTCTGCCAGATCTACTTCAGGAAAAAAGAACAAGATCATAAGGTTGAAAATATGGAGTGGCCAGCATAATCTCCAGACTTAAACCCCATTGAACTGGTTTTGGGATGAACTGGACAGAAGAGTGAAAGCCAAGCAACCTACAAGTGCCACAAATTTATGGGAATTTCTGCAACAGACTTGGGAAAAACTTTGTGAAGAATATTTGATTTCTACTGCAGAAAGAATGCTACGCCACAAGTGTGTTCAGGTGTTATATCTGCCAAAGGTGGCTACTTTTAGGAATCTAAAGTTTAGAATACATTTTGGTCTATAAATTGATTCAATGATTTCATTTTCAACTCAAATTGCTTATTTGTTCTAAGCTTTAATGTCATTGCACTCTGAAATTAAACAATGATTTTCAGTCAAAAACTGGAAAAAGTGTATTCTAAAACTTTAGAAACAGTAGTGTAAATTATCTGTGCCGTGATAAGTGTTCATGATCTCAAGGCTGTGAAAAGTGCTGCTTTGGCCACAGGTTAATAAATGAGCTCCATCAATACCATCTGAAGCCCACCTTGATGATATTAATACTATGGCATTCTAATATCTTCAACGTGCCTGATCTGGTTGAGTAAACTATCAGATATACAAAATAAATACCTTGTAGAGCTTATCCTTCTTGCAAAGCTCCACACTCTGTTTCCAGCGGTTATTGCCCTTGAAGAGGTAGGCAGCGATTCTTCTGAACTCAATCAGCTCGTGTTTTTCTAAGCGCTGGGCCAGTGAGATGTTATCAAAGTTATCATAAGCATCTATTGATGTTCTAAGTGCCTAAAAAAACACAGCAATAATTAAATCCCTGAACAAAAAAAAAACAACCAATGATCATTTTTATTTGGATTTCTCACTTGATAATCCTCCTCTACAATGAAGAGGTTGTTAAGTGCTTCATTGACTGATTTGTTGTTGTGGTTCTGCACTGAACGCAAGTATGGTTTTACCAAAGGCAGCTGTTTAACCTGCAGAAATGAATACATGTGCAATTAATATCAAAATGGGTACTGCAAGGCAAAATATGACAACAAAATCATTGTTCATTGATACCTTAGAGAAAAAGTTGACGGCACGGGAGTGATCCAGTCTCGGTGAAAGCACTATGAGCAAATCATTCAGTAACAACGGTTTGAACTCCAAATAAAACTGGATGGCTTTGTAATATAGTTCCACATTTGCAACCTGCAGAGGGAAAAAGCCCATACAGTTAATTAGATATACACCTAGAAAAAACAAATGTAAGCAGCAATATAATATTGTTAATGTTAATATATTAATATTACTAAAAGATAATATTGTATTAATAAACTAGTGCAAAAGAGGGCTAAGACCAACCTTGGTGATGATGTCTTTAAACTGTCCCTCCTTCCAGGCATCTGTGGGGTGGCTCATCATGGTGATGATGGCGTTGTCAAACTCTTCGTATTTGTCATAGAGGAAGACGAGCTCTGCCCACAGGTGTGCTTGTTCTGCTGCCCGCAGGACTTTGGGGATGTTCACTCTGGACCAGAACAGCTCCAGATGTTCTCTCATCTTCTGCGGTTTAAACTTGGAGTAAAGAATGGCCAACTCTGTGAACATGCCCATGTGTGCACGCTCCAGGCCCAGAGCAGCCTCCAGCATGGTGATCAGCTCCTCAAAGTAACCCCGATCCTGGCAGGAGAGAGATTATTATTAGCACAGGTAAACATGTGAACTAATATTTAATAATGATTTATTTTCTTACCTGGTAATAGTTGATGAGCTCCTCCAGC